GTCCATCTTGCAAACTGCTTCTAAAGTCTTCTTTTTAAAACAAGAGCAAGTCCTGTCACCCCATTAAAGCAAAACCTCTTAAATCCCCACTACTTGTACGATAATGTCTAACCCTCTTAGCCTGCGGTACAACACTTTTTTTCAACAACTTTTTGGACCCTAATCTCTATTGTCATGCTGGTTTAACTCTGTGTTCCCTACCATTTCACAGATTTCCATATCAAGGCTAGAACAGAGCTTGGTGCAAGACAGGCACTCAATATTCAGCATATATATGATGAATGATTGAATTAAAGTGGTACTGTTCCCTATACCTGGTATCCCTTTGCTTTTCCCTGTTCAACCTAGAGAGCTCCACTCAGCTTTCAGTCTTCAAAGGAAAAAAATAGTGCAGCAGAATAACAGGAAATCTGAGGTCTGTGATCAGTTCTTAAATGAAGCAGTCAACTCTAAGGCACCTCTTTACCTATGACAGCTCTATAAATGAGCTTTATAGCAACATTTTCCATAACCAGGGTTACACATTGAGCTCCATGATACATCCTGCAGGTGACAGTGTACCTACAGTTTGCATTGGCATCAGCAGGAGGAGCTAAAGATGTTAGTTGTCCACATGGATTGAGGAAGTTGCTACATACATTATTTTTAGAAGCCATTTTGACAAAGTAAATGAGGAATTCAGAGATGGTTCTAGACTGGTTTTTGAAGGAGGATGGCTTTGTCTGATTATTTGATATAGTTTCCAAAAAGTACAGTGAGTGTACTATTGAAAAGCAAATTCAGGTATTATTCTATGGGTCACCAGAATAGAGAACCCAGAAATAAACCCACAATATAATGTCAATTAATTTAAGACAAAGGAGCCAAGACTATATAATGGGGGAAGGACAGTCTCTTCAATAAATTGTGTGTGGAAAACTGGGCAGCCACATGCAAAAGAATGAAACTGGACCACTATCTTACAACATACTTAAAAATTAACTCAAAATGGATAAAAGACTTAATAAGACCTGACACGATAAAACTCCTAGAAAAAAATAGGTGGTAAGCTCCTTGACATCAGCCTTGGCAGTGATTTTTTAAATCTGACACCGAAAGCTAAAGCAACAAAAGCAGAAATAAACAAGTGTGGGACTACATCAAATTCAAACGCTTCTCATGGCAAAGGAAACTATCAACATAATAAAAAGAAAACCTATTGAATTGCAGAAAATATTTGCAAATCATAAACCTGATAAGGGGTTAATGTCCGAAATATACGAAGAGCTTATACAGCTCAATAGCAAAGAACAAAAACAAAACAAACGACTTGATTAAAAAATGAGCAGAAGGTCTGAATAGACATTTTTCCAAAGAAGACATGCGAATAGCCAAGAAGTACTTAAAAAGATGCCCAACATCACTACTCATCAGGGATGCGCATACCAAAACCACAGTGAGAGCACCTCACACCAGTTAGAATAGCTTCTTCTCAAAAAGCAACAATAGCAAGTGTTGGTGAGGATGTGGACTGTTGGTGAGATTGCAAATGGGCACAGCCGCTATGGAAAACAGTGTGGAGTTTCCTCAAAAAATTAAAAATAGATCTACCATATGATCCAGCAATTCCACTGATGCGTATTTGTCCAAAGAAAATGAAAACACTAACTTGAAAAGATATATGCACCCCCATGTTCACTGTAGCATTATTTACAATAGCCAAGACATGGAAGCAACCCAAATGTCCATCAATGGATGAATGGATAAAGAAAATGTGGCCCATTATTTGGCCATAAAAAAGAAGGAAGTCTTATGATTTGTTGCAACATGGATGGACCTAGAGGGTATTATGCTCAGTGAAGTAAGAGAAAGACAACACATGATCTCACTTACTTGTGAAATCTAAACAAACAAGCCCCCCAAATTAAACAAACAAACAAACATCCAAGCTCATAGATACAGAGAACAGATTGGTGGTTGCCAGAGGCAGGGGGGGTGAGGGGAGGTGGCCAAATGGAGGGAGGGGTTTAAAGGTACAAACTTCCAGTTACAAAATAAGTGAATCATGGGGTGTAATGTACAGCATGATAACTATAGTTGAAACTGTATTGTATATTTGAAAATTGCTAAGAGATTAGATCTTAAAAGTTCTCTTCCCAAGAAAAAAATTAGTAACTATATATGGTGACTTAAGTAGACTTATTGTGGTACTCATTTCTCAGTGTGTACAAATTTCAACTCATTATGTTGTACACCTGAAACTAACATAATATGTAAATTATACCTCAATAAAAGTAATTATTCATAATTTTATAAAGTTTATAATGTAATATATATTCACAACAGATTTACTAAAAATATCAAGAGATCTTTTATTTTTATTTTATTATAATTTTTTTAGCATTGAAATATTTTTTGTTTTTATTTTAAAGAGGTTTACAAAATATTCAGCAATGTTTGTGGATACTTAATGTTAGAACTCTTACTTATACTCCAACATGCATTCTTGTTGCTGTTGGGAATTTTTTTCAAACCTACTGATTTGAAAACTTTGAAAAGTAATTAAAATAGTTCAAATATATACCCCCTTTGGGAAGATGTGTAACTTGGAAAAATATCCATTAAATTACAGATAATACTTTAAAGGAAGATAATGAATAACTGAATGTTGACTCCATGCTTTTTCTAGCAATAATGCACCTTTTCGTGTCCATGTTTCTTTTTTTTTTCCTTTTCATTGAATTTATTGGGGTGACACTGGTTAACAGATTTATACAGGTTTCAGGTGCACAGTTCCACAACACATCATCTGTACACTGTATTGTGTGTTCACCACCCAACGAGAGATCTTTTTAAATTGTTGAGAACACTCAATTATTTTCTGAAACTTAAGGGGAAATACCATGTACTGTCATATTAATCTTAGCCCAAACATCTCTTCACAGCTATAAAGGAGAGTATGTTATTTTAGGAACAGTCCCTAGTGATGGCTGAATTATTTTCAATAAATGTTTAACTATTGGATTTACTGCTGGATCTTCCTGTCATCTAAGGCTGTTTTATTTAGACCACAGCTTCAATTGAAAGTCCAAAGAAAAGCAGAAGAGAAAGGGGCAAGGAAAGGGAGGGGAAGGAGGAGGGGCAGAGGGAGGAGCTGTCAACCTCAGGGAGGGGTAATGTGAAAGCAGGTCTTAGGGAAAAGTGGGAAGAACCCTGTGTGATTGTGAGTGAGCAGGATGAGACTCTCAAGCTGATACTCTCTCTGCTCCTCTCATGAGCGATGCTCTTCTCAGCTGCTCTGGTGGCAGCTGCTGTGGATGACTTCGTAACTCCCACCAGAGGATTGTAGTAGCTGCTGTTGTCACTGGTGACTGACTTTGTATTACTTACAGAGGATAAGTCATAGCTGTGTCTGTGTTGAGCCTGTAGAATTTGTTTTATCCTTGGCTCTCTGCAAGAAAGAACTATTTTTTTCAAGATGCTTTAGTAAGGATTATTAATATTATACTGTGTGGAGTTGTAAAACTAGTATTATGGCTCAAAGCATAATATTCCTGGCTACCTTTAGCTCTTTTTGGCGTCTAGGCCTACTGACTTGTCTTTGGTTTGGATCAACCCTTCTGTGCTGAGGATTCCTTCCCAGTGTGTTTCAATCCACTGAAACAAATCCATCACCACAGCCCCTCCAGCCTCAGGGACTTGGCATCAGCCAAGTCCATTTTGACTTCCTTCTTGAGGCAGAGGTCATAGACTTTTGGTCCATGGATCCAACTGTGTTTTTGCCAGATTTATAAAATGAAAAACTAATTTTCAACGTATAAACATTTAAAAATTGGAAATTTTATGTTGACATACGGGTTTCTGACTTTTCATGGAAAAGCAAAAGATGTGGCAGCACTGGACTAGTTGCAGCTGGAGCTGAGTAGTGGCTATACCTTAGACTGGCTTGTACTCTCCTGCTCACCGAGGCCACCCACCTGCATTTGAGTTTGTTCTCTGGGGGGTACTGCCTGCATTAACATTAAGTCCCAAATGTGGTTTTGAGTTTTTCAAATTAGTATACTATCAAACTCTTAATAATTCTCTCCTGAAAAGAAACAAATGTAAAACTCAGTCCAGATATAGGATTATGTAGTCAGATCAAATTGTTAATATTCTATAATTAACCCTCTCAAATAGAAATGTAGGACTTTCCTTAGTTTGAGCCAAGGTAACACATATCACACCCTACACAAATTAAAGATGAGTCGAAGGCACAGGTCTGTACTCAGATTTCTGAAAAAGCATGTGTTTGGAAAAATGTGGTAAGTTCTTAAAAAAAGTAATCAGCCTGCATTATTTGTTCAATCATCCCTCAAGTAACTTTGGTATGTCAACGACTCCAAGAAAGTGCTCACCACAAAACAAAGAGATTTTTCCTTTGAAGAAAATTATAACAAGGTCAAGCCATTAAAAATATTGAATTATGAACACGTGTTCAGCCTGCTGATTGAAGGGCCCTTGATAATTTTATCTTAACATGCTAAAGTTGTATTAAAAGAATAGTCACTCTCACTGAACCTGAATTCGAAGGCATGTTTTGGCAGACGGTCAGTACTAGGAATAAGGTCCATTGCCTTCTTGGATGCCCTCCTCACAGGCTCAGACGCCCCTCCTTCCCCATGCGGCAGGCTGTGTCTAAGGCCACTGCTGACCCTGCTCACATTCCCGATCTACTCTGGGCCTCACCGTCCATGCCGACACGCTGTCTCACACCAAGTGCAGATGCCTACTTTTCTCGGGCTCCTGTTCACAAAGAAAAGGGAGAAAAAGGAAGCTGAAGAGTAGACCTGGCTTTTTAAAGCAAAATCCCATGTAAATATCTTTTATTATTGCTACAAATGTAAATATACAGCAAAGTCAATTAGCTTTATATTATATAGGGTATGATAAAGTCTTTCCCTGTAAGTCTTTAATTATATCCACCATATTGTACTTTTATATTGAGTTATATGCATATAAATATCTCTTTTCATATTTAGGGCTCTCTGAAAAGTGTGGAATCCTTCGCGTCTATGCTGAGACATTCTCCGCTCACTCAGATGGGACCTGCCAAGGATAAAATCGTCATTGGACGAATCTTTCATATCGTGGAAAAGGATCTTTATATAGATTTTGGCGGCAAGTTTCATTGTGTGTGTAGCAGACCAGAAGTGGATGGAGAGTAAGTAGAGTCATTTCCAAGTGCTTTAATAGTGTTCATACAAGCTGAGATATCCCAGAAATATTATTGGACTTTAGTTGGTGGTTTTGGAAAGACAGAAAATATGCTTATTTCTTTTCATAATGCTAGTTAGCCAAGTTGGGCCAGCTTCATGTCTTCTCAAAGCAGTGAGAATAGTTTTGGGGACGAGTTGAATGTTCATCCTTTGTTTTCCCAAACGCTAAATAACAGTCAAAGCATAAGCCCTATTGCTCTCTGGTTCTGCAGCCTAGTGGTTGTTTCGAATGGTATGCTAAAGGGAGTGCTTCACTTCAGCCAGGACTGAGCCTGACTGCTTAGTTACCTCCGTCCCTGCTTACCTATGTGTGCTCATACTCTGATGGCTATGAACACAGCTACAGCTTTATGCCTACAGGCAGTTTTTTTCTGAGAAAAACTTTTTAACTTAGCAAATTCCTTGTTGTCCCATTTTCAATTTATCCTGGAAAGAAGGGTTATACTCTTCACAGAATAGTTATCAGATCCCTTTATTTCTACATGTAGAAATGCTTAGGTTCTTTCTAAAACCCTTCTCTGGGACTCTTACAACTACCTGTCACTTAGCTTTCAAAGTATGCTGACCTGATACTTTCTATAATACTTTTAGTTACTGTTTCAGTTACTTTGCCTTTCTACCTGTATCCAAACCAAAATTTGTGAGTGGGAAATATTTTATTAAAATCTTACCTGTCGTCTTTAGCATTGGTGGAAGGATGATAACACCAAACGTGAAGGTAATGAGATCCAGCTGGGTCTCTGGTCTTTCCTTTGTTTACACGTTTAGATTATCTGACCAGATACAACAGCTTATTGGGCTGGACACATGTTGCTCTCTACCTTCATGATGTCAGGCCTTTGACTGCATAGATTCTGGGAGGCTAAGTCTCAGAATGGCAGATTTCCGCTTTGATACATTTATTAAGCAACTCTAAATAAGATGTAGGTATTTACATAAATTGTGTATTATTCATCAGCCGAACCTTTTTTTATCCCTTTTGAGAACCATTTTTCTCTTTATTTAGACTGGTGTGTAGTTGAATCTATTCTACTTTTTGGAAACTATATCAAATAATCAGACAAAGCCTTCTTTCAAAAGTCAGCCTAGAACTATCTCTGAATTCCTCATTTACTTTGTCAGATGGCTTTTAAATGCAATGAAAACTTAAATTTAATAAAGTACTCAGTTTAGCAAAATGGTTTAATTTTTTTATTATTGCTTTCAATAAGTTCAGTGGCCTTTCAAACTTAGAGTAACTGATAAGAATCAGAAATCATTTTAGTTAACTGGATATCCTAATTAGCGAAGTAATACCCTTTTAATAAGTAAACCATAAGGACTGGGGGAGAATCATAAAAATCTGGAAGGAATTGCTTTCCAAATGTCCTTCTGTTCCCGTTTTACGTTAAAGTAACTGCCTCAGGCCATCGAGGTACTGCAGTGGGGATTGTTTATGGAAGGCGATCAGTGTTGAGCTCCAGTGATTGGACCTCTACTCACCAAGGAGGCCAGGCCCTAAATCAGAACATTTGCATTAATTGCTAAGTTAATGTCTTTACAGTCTATGTGTACACTTTTTAATGAGTCCTCATTTTAACCTACTTTTCCCTGAACCAACCTATGAGTCAGAGAGCTTCTCCTGTGACTTAAAAATATAAAGCACTTTGCCTGTCATGTGAAGCTGCCTTCCCTTTTCTTTAGACATGTTTTCTTGTGTCAGTAACACAGCTTACAACTTCCCAAAATTTGTCCTAGTGTGGATAAGATCCCTTTCCATATCCCCACCTGATAACATGATAGCTAGGCTTTTGAAAACTTACATTGGCATTTTGTGTATGTCATCTGATTTATTCCTCCTAAGAAGCATGGAAAGTAGAAGCCATTATCCCCATTTACCAAATGAAGAAAATGAGTCTCTGAGTGTAATGTGTTCCCGTGACACAACTGTTCGTTACCAAGGCAGGGACTCAGACATAGAGTTGTGTATAACCAATGCTGTGAATGTTCTCTTCACTCTAAAGTTCTCTTCTCTAAATCCTACAATATAGAGTTCTTAATGTCTCATAAAAACCTCCCAAAATAGTCTTACATATGAATCAATTTTATATTGATTCTGAAGGCAGTGGTAGTGAAGCTCTATGGGTCTGTTAAAGAACGGTATGTCACCTGTTATAATGTCCTTAGTTATGGTTCCATGGTTATGGTACACCGTGGCCCTTGGTATCGTGTCCATAGTGTGTTTGGATAGTGTTACCACCAGTAAGCTAATGATCAGCGGGTCCCGGTTTTGTTTCAGAATGGATGTGTTATCATAATTATAGTGATATCTGTGGTTACAATAACTGGTTAATGTCTGACAATGATTGGTAGCTTAGAGTCAGCATCCCTGCTATTATTTGGGAATGATATATTTTTAAAAAGTTTATTCAGTAAAGGGTAGAAGGTTGACTTTTTGTAGGTGTAATACTTAATTTTTAATTATTCGATTGATTCTTTTTATAAAATGTGTCATCTACTTTCTTTGAACCTTGTTAGACTAAAGTAATTTAACCTGGGTTTTTTTGTCTTGGTTTTTTGATGACCAAGGTCATAATTATAAACATGAATTTCTGTATTGTATCACAGTTCAAAGATATAGAATTATTGCTCCTTAACCACATAACCCCCAGTTATGTAGTTTTTGTGCTTCACCTTTGGGTATCATCTTTTTTTCCCCTACTGTTGCTCTTGTGTTTGCATTTTTAGCTTAGACCTCTTAATCTCTTCTTTTAATATTCTGATGCCTAGGAAATTGGTTACCGAATTTGTTGTGCTTAAAATAAGAATAACTAGTGCTTGAGTAAGAACCTCGTGGCCTCTTCTCTAAGTAAGTGTATGTACTTTAGTACATGGACTTCAACATGCATTTTGACAGTTCCAACAGTCCTCTGCTTAATTCTCTTTGGGTTCTTTGGGGACTTGATGCCACCAAATAACTGACTTCCTGATGAGTGAAGTGTGACTGGGTTGGGGACTTGCCTGTGTTGACCACCTGTTTACTGAGCTGTTGATAGGGTTTGTCACATATCAGAACAGTGTGTGCTGAACCAGTCAGGTGCTGAGTGTTATGGACATGAGCAGTTATTGTGGTTGAGACCTTAACACCTCCAGCAGGAACAGTAGTGAGAGTAAGATGGGGTTATTGGATCTCAAGTACTATTTGAGGTGGTACCAATCCTTACAGTGAAATCATAAGTAAATAAATAAATTTCTTAACATTGTTAAGCCCAAAATAATGCTTTATGGCATTGATTAGTTTGGTTGGCTTAGAATATACCTATAATACATTTTATGAGTCTCAAGAATTAAGCTGCTGATTTTATTTTTATTTTTAAATAAACTGGGTCATGGTACAGTTTTTCACGGAGTCAGGAAGTATTTAATGAACTATTTTGTGCCACCTGTGGGTTTAATGCTAGCGATGTACAGATTAAAGACAACCCCTGCTCTCAGGGAGGTGATGAGTCAGTCCTGGGGATAGAGAAATGAACATACATAACACTGTACAGGTTCTATTTCCTGGATTCTCTAGGAATTTGGAAAAGAGGGGATCGATGAACCTGTCAGCTTGTGCAAGAGAGTTTCACAGAGGAAGTAACATGGAATTGAGTTGTAAAGGATGGGTGGTGGTAGGATATAGAAGTGCTGGAAATGAGAGGGAGCCACACTTGCAGAATACTTAGTGAGAGCCTGCCTCTGCTGGGAACTCAGGTGGCTTTGTTGGCTTAAGTTTAGGAGGAGCTATGGGAGAATGGGGAGATGGCAGGACCTGGGTCTTCAGGGGACTTACATGCCATTCTAAAAAAATGGAGCTTTACTCTGAAAGTGGGAAAGAGCCATTCAAATATTGTAACATGTGACATGGACCAGGTTTGTGTTCCAGGGAGCACATTCTGGCAGTGGAGCGTATATTGAAAGAATGAAACTGGAGTTAGGGAGGCCAGTAAAGAAGCTACTGGAAAGAAATGATGAGAATGTGAATTATGCCTGAGCGTCAGAAAAGGAGACTTTCATTAGCTGTTTAGGAGACAGAAGGACTGGGTCTTGGTGACTGAGTAATTGTGGGTCATGAGGTGGAAGGAATGATGTTTGGTTTTAGACATGAATGACTAGGTGGATAGTAAGTTGGGTTGTATTGGGCATGTGGGGGAGGGGAATATATTATATTGATATTTTTGCCAGCTTCAAAAATTAAAATTAAAATGCCCAGGTTTAGATTGGTTTGATTCTCTCATTCCCACTCATGGTCATAAGGTACAGTTAGAAACATTCCTCTTTTTACTGAAATATAAAATCCTCATGGTTAAACCATGCTTATCTTTTTGGCTGAAGAGCCAGATTCTCTAAATTTGTTCAAGTTGAATTTTAATTTTGAATTTTTGTGAATGGTATACATTTCTGTAAAATCCTGAAGTCCAGGTTTATAAGTTAAGTCCATTTATTTATTAATGTGTTCATGAAGATTGCATCTTTTAAAGCATTATTTCTACACTGGCATCTCTTGTCACAACACATGTGATTGACAGCTCTGAAAATCGAAGAGTTTCAAAACAAGCATGATTGGCAGTTCTAAGGTAACTAGCATACACAGGGAATATTATTTGTACTTTTGTTTGACACTAAGGTGGAATAAACAAGCTGATTTCCCAGTCTTTGTTTCTATTTCAAGTTGTGTGATATGCACGGTCAAGTGAGAGTGGATGGATATTGAACGTTTCAAAAAGTAAAGTTTCAAAGTGTATTGGTGGGGAAACAAGAAAGAATTTGAATGAAGCAGTTCTTTTATTCCAGCAGATGTGGTGTACAATTAAAAAGTGTGCTTGGTTTTCAATAAATTAGTGATTGAAAATCATTCTATTAGATTTTTCATTACAGATCTCTGATTGAGAGTATGTATAAATTGTAAAATATGATCTCAGAAATA